ACACACACACACACACACACACACACGACAAAGAGAGACACAGAGAGCACACCTATTAGCCTCTGTTCTGATTTTAGGCTCTCACAGGATTTCTGGAGGAGGCATTCGCACACTGCTCTGTAACCTTCAGCATCCTCTGGGGACCCTCTCCAAGTGTGACCCCCACAGAGGAGACGCCGTCACTCAGCCTTTCTCAGGGGACCATTTGGAAGTGGCCTTCACCCTGTGCTCTTCATCTCCGAGAAAGCTACTTAATGATGCATAAAACGAATTATTATAAAATAAGACGGACTCTGCACGGCAGCTGCTCACAATGTGGAAAATCACAATTTTTCATGGCCTGTTTTCTTTGAAAATGTGTGCCCTTTCCCCATCCTTAATGCGTTCTGTATATGTAAAATAAATACTCCTCACAGCAGGACCCTGGCTCGGAGGCCTTAAAACCTAATAAAAGAGTCCTGTAGTTTAATGGTCCTTAAATGCTCAACATCTTTTTCACTTAATGTAAAATCCATCTGATCTAATAGCCGTGACTGAATTATAGATATATAATTTTTTTCTATTAAATGTTAATCTTCTGACTTGGTGCAGCCATAGACGCCCTAAATTATTAAGAAGGCAATAACCTCTCTAAACTCTTTCCAGACTTCAGGATATTCCCAGGTCTGCTATCATAAAAAATAAATCTGCAAACCTGCATACAATAAATAAGAATCACACCTATTAAATAAGACAATTCAACAGCAAATATCAATTATGAGAACGTTGTTTTCTTGATATCTCCTCCTTTGTTTCACAGACTATAAATTCATATATACATGTAAATATGTATACATATATGTGACAGAATCCTGTGTCTATATAACTAGGAAAGCAGCCCTCAAAAAGCCTCCCTTTTCATTTACATATGACACTTCTGTTATCTTCTGGTTGGATCCATTTGTTGGTGATGTTTGTTCCAGCAGGCATAAATAATGAAAATGCCCTCTACTACATAAGGGAAGCCACATGCCCAATTATGCTAACCACAGCTCTTCCACTGCCTGGGGAGGCTTGTGGGAAGGCTATCTCCGTCCTGGCTTCATCTTTTTATTTGAAAAATCTATATACTCACTTAAGGCAAAGGTGAGGACAGGGTCAGGGAGACTGTTCTGTGGGTTCCATCCTCAACATCCTTCTCCTAGGCCTTGCTAAAGATTTCTCTACACCCCCCCCCCCCGGACCACCACAGGCTGGTAACAAATCTTTAACACATGAGTTTGAGGGGACATTTAAGGTCCGATTTGTAACAAAAACTACACTAACTTCACCAGAAATCTCAGAACAGAGGTATAGCTGGTGGCCAGGCACTGCACAAACATTTAACAGCCAGCCACTTGAGGGGGTAGGACACACGCCCCATTTTTGCACATAAGTGGAGGTCAGGGGCCAGCTTGAGGGAGTGGGTTCTTGTACCTCATGGGTTCCAGGAATCAAACTCAAGTTGTAAGGTTTAGTGGTAAACACCTTCAACTGGTGAGCCATCTCACTAGCCCAATCTTTTACATCTTATTCTTGTGTATGTGTGAGGGCCTTTACACACGTATGTGTACACGTGCACGCCTGGATCCTTCAAAGACCAGAAAAGGGCGCTGGCTACCCTGGAACCGGAGTCACAGGCAGACATAAGCTGCCTCATGTGGAGAATGATCTGGAAACTGTAAGAGCAGTGAGTACTCGTAACCACCAAGCCATTTCTCCAGGCCCTCAATGATCCCAGTTTCAATAGCTAATTCTTCATATTGGCTCTAGGTAACTGACGAGGTAGTAATAACGAAATGAAAAAAAAAAAAAAAAAAACAAACCTAAGGACTGAGTAATAAAGGACGGGACCCGTTAGAATTCAGTGACTCCCAGAGAACTTGCAAATCCTTAGATGACAACTTCAGGACTCACAGTCTTTCTGAACACAAATGCAAAGGTAAGCATCTTCCATGATCTATGCTCCATTGACTTATCACTAACACGCTTGAAGCGGAATTTCAGTAGGTGAGTGGTTGATTATGGGATTGGCCTAGGAGGGTTTCAGACAGACACTCAAAATGACTACCATCTTCCAGATTTGGGACCCTGGCAGTTTTTACTCTAAATTCCCCAAAGATGAGAAATGGAGTACTGGTTTTCCAGTCTTCTATAATGATACTCAGCACAATTCTAAAGAAACCCATTTTGACAGGTGAAGACAAAATGCAGAAATGAGAAGGCTCAGTGCTGGACAGCTCATGAGGCTTTTGCAAGAGACTCAAGTTGTTTCCAGAACCCGTGTCAAGGGGCTCCACCTGTAGCTCCATCTCCAGAAGGATCTGACGCCCTCTTCTGGCCTCTATGAGCACCAGCACTCACATGAACAAACACAGAGTTAAAAAAAATAATAAACCTTAAAACACAAAATAAAATATAAGGCTGCTTCCCCAACTACCAAGGAAAACATGGCTCTGAACATGTTTCTAGTTCAAAACACTACTCTGTTGGATTTCAATACATGGCCCAAAACTCTTAAAACAAAATTCAGGAAAAAAACAAAACAAAAACCCCCAATATTAAACATAAGTAACGAGCCAAATGTTATTCATATAAACTTTACCTCAAGAACAAAAAAATAAATCAATTCTGACTTTTCATTGTTTACATACCGAAGAAATGTGGATGTACTGACTTACAAAGAATAAAGTCGTGCTACCTGCAGGGAAATGCCTGAGATCAGTATGTGAAGCTACTTAGGTCAGCCTCAGAAAGACAGAGATCACGTTTTCTCTCGACTGTGGTCCCCAGACTTCACAGAGACATACAATCTTGTGAGTACAGATGACGTGAAAGCAGAAGTCACACTATCAGGGGAACAAGAGGGACAGATGGGAAGGAAGCATCAGGTATAGGGTATGCTTAAAATTCATCACGTGCTTGCACAGAAGTGCCCTTATGTGACCCTGTGTTAGGACGTGCTCTTTCAAAAAACAAATATGATGGTATAGTCTTGGCGTAGGTGGTGATTTTTCCAACCGTATTCTATAAAGACAGGACTAAGAAAATGCTCTGGGATTTGCAATGGAAGAAAACTCCGGGGCTGAGAAGATGGCTCAGTGAATACAGCACTTGTCACACATGGTAAGGGCAGGTTTGGATCCTCAGAACGAACTTATAAAAGCCAGACAGGCATCGTGGCCACCTATAATCCTGGCACCAATGAGGCAGGGACAGGGGATCCTCAGGGCAAGCTAAGCTGGTCACTAATCCAGCTGAATGCCAAGCTCTGGGTTCAATCCAGAGTCCCTGCTCCAATACGTGGTGAGCAATGGATGAGGATATCCAGCATCAACTTAGGGCCTCTACGTATTCGCACACACACGCACTCACACACGTGAACATACATATATACACTACACACATAAGCACCCACACACACGAACATAAATATAAGTACCACACACACACAAAGCTCAGCTAAAATGATCCATTTGTACAATTACTTGCTATCAAATCAGTGCCTTTTAGTGTGAACAGTAAACAAAACATTAATCTAAATAAAGACATAAATCCTCTGTAGAAAGATGCGGTTCGTGCAAATAGCTGGCTGGAGAGTTTACCCTAAGTATGCCCAATTCCACTATCTCCTTGCTGTCTTTATTCTGCAGTATACTGCATTGTGGCGCTGTTGTCTAAGACTTCAACATGTTCCCCAGATCAATTCTTTAATGCTAATTTTGTAAGAAACTTGCATCTCGCATTATTAATCCCATTCGGATGACACTCCTATAAATAAGTATGAAACATTTGGAGGACGCATGTATAATGAGTGCTTGATTACAACATTCCCAAATGTCAAAGCAATTGCAAAAAAATAAATAAAGTCAAGTTTTTGACACTTGGAGAAATTTCACGCATCATTTCTCATTGTTCTCGTGTGAAAGACTATGGCAAGAAAAGTCAACCACAAGTAGCAAAAGGTTAAAGCTCTGCTGTGGAGACCAGGAGGCAATCTTACCAGTTCCTCAAATATTCTGCTCGCGCCTGTCCCTGAGCTGTGTAATTTTAGCACTGCAAAACCGTCATGAAATCTACTTTAAAAGGTATTAGTTTAAGAAGAAAAACAAAGCCAAAGGTACTCCTTACACTGCTCAATAAAGATGCACCTTGGCCAGCCTCATAACCCACTCCTCCAAAGCCCACAAGGCTCACGGGTTGCTCAGGGAAAAGGATGATTTATGTTTGTGAGTCTGTGTGTGCACATCTGTGCCTGTGCATGTGGAGGCCAGAGGCTGATATCTGGCCTCTCCCTGAACCTGCAGCTCACTGATTTGGCTGGACTGTATGGCCAGTGAGGCTCAGACATTCTGCTGTCCCTGCCTCCTCGGTGCTGGAATTACAGGTGCACACTGTTGCTCCTGGGGGCAGGAATCTGGGTCCTGGGGATTGAACTCGGACCCTCATGATTGCCTGGAAAACACTTTACTAACTGAGCTGTCTTTTCAGCTCCTGGAAGGTCTTCTGATCCACTTAAAAGTAGCCATCAGCTAAATTAATTTCTCCAAAATCAATCTTCCAGTGCTTATTTCAGCCTAAGCTTCTTTTTATGGACCCATTCAGATGGCTCATATTTTATTAGGGACCCAACCATTTTTAAAATGTAGTTTTAAAAAGTACAATTACTAGGGCATGGTGGCACAAGCCTTTGATCCCAGCACTCGGGAGGCAGAAGCAGGCAGGTCTCTGTGAGTTTGAGGCCAGCCTGGTCTACAGAGTGAGTTCCAATACAGCCAAGGCTACACAGAGAACCCTCATCTCTAAAAGCAAAAACAAAGCAGAATGAAAATGAAAAAGTATAAATAAGAAGGAGATAGTTGAGGCAAGGCAAGTACCAAAGTACATGCTGTGTGCCACTGCGTGAAACGAATGCACATAAACCCAAGATCTGACCCAGCTGAAAAACTCAATGACACACTCATCTCATGAGAAAAATAAAATTCAGCAACACAACAAAATAGATTTTATTTTATGTATACTATCAGAGTAGGCCCAAAAAGCCTCAGAACCGCACCCAGAATGCATAGCACCGAAGGACAGGCTCTGGGCCAGCTGCCGCTAGCACACGAGGCCTTGTCGCATCTGTATGATCTGTAGTAAGGCCGCCTGCACGTCTTCATCCATGTGACCCTGGAGAGAAGGAAGAGGAGAGGCCACGCGTCACATATTGACTCCAAAGCTGAAGCCTGTATCCTAGGGCACACCTGCTGTGTTTCCCAGACGAACCCTCCCCATAGTGAGAGCGCCCCACAGGAACTCGACCATGGAGACGACAGTGTCGGGTCATCAGGACTAAGTATGCAGGAGGGGCTCTTAGCCCTTCTGACCAGAAAACCAGGGACAGCAATGGCATCTGCTGAGCAGGGCTGTCCGCACTGGGAGCAGAGTAAGCTCCGAGAACACTCCCAAGATTGCGTGGTGTGCACGTGTCTACACCTTGAGGCACGTCCTGCCTTCTCGACTGAGGCTGAGTCTGCAGCTTGACACCAGAGCTGGCCATTTGGCCGCTCTAACCAGCTCGCTCCAGAGACCCCATCTCTATTTCCTAACAGCTGAGTTTAGAGGCTGGCTGCCACACGCATGCATCATTTCCTTGGTGCTGGAGATCTGAACTCTTGGTTCTCAATCTTGCGTGAAAAGCACTTTGCCCACTCAGCCATCTCCCTGCCTTGCCCCTTTAAAGAGAAAAGTAGCTGAGGAAAAAGTAATTTCCATACTTATAATTTTAACATAAAGCAGAATGACACATCTCTGCAGCTTGCCTTTTCACTCAATGTCATAGCAATCTTTTCCAGAGCCACTTAGCTGTTAATTTTTTATGTAATACACACTATACAGACATATTAAATTCTTTTGCCTCTTCCCTAAGGTAGGTAGATAGATGATAGATAGACACAGATAGGTGATAGATAGACAGACAGATAGATAGATAGATAGATAGATAGATAGATAGATAGATAGATAGATAGATAGACAGATGATTGATACAGCATGTATATATATATATATCTTTCTAGATCTATCTACATATATTTGTAAATTTGAAAGATAAATATGTATGTATAGTCTTTATAGCCAGACGTGTGGAGAAGAAATAGCAGGCTTATAAGACAAATTCAGGACTGGTGTACAGTGAACAACTATAATGTCAGCACTCAGAAAGTGGAGGCACAAGGATCAGAAATTCAAGGGCTGCCTGGATCTCAAAAACAAAACACAATAACAAAAACTATTTCATTTTTCAAAGTACTTTCCTTACTAGAAATAACAATTTACACTTCTACCCAACTGGGTATAAAAGACCCATTTTCCAAACACTTGGATGAAACTATATGTAAAGAAAGTTACCCCTTACACACTGGCAACTCCCCTGGCACAAAGCTGAGTGTGTTAGTCATTTACATGTTAAAGGAGACCATTTAAAAAGTTTAAAGTAGGGGCTGGAAAGATGGCTCAGTGTATAAGAATAGTTGCTGTGCAAATGTGAGGTAGGTCCTGAGTTTGAATTCCCAGTACCCATAAAAACCCTGGGCAAGGCTGAACGTGCCTGTAACCCCAGCATTGTGGGGTGGAGACAGGTGGACCCCAAGAGCCCTGTGCTTGACTAGCACAGCTGACTGTGAGCTGCAGGTTCAGTAAGAGACTATGCCCAAAGCAATCAGGCAGAGCACAGAGTAATAAGACAGTGTTCTATTCTGGCCTCCACACGCGCGCGCGACACACACACACACACACACACACACACACACACACACACGCACTTTTTTAAGTAGTCTGTGGCAGGCTTATACACCTCTACTTTCTTCTTTATTATTAATTTATTACTGGAGCATCTATATAGGTTTTGGCAGGACACGGCTATCAACATAAAAAGTTTGGCCCCCCAAATCTGTTTTTACAGCAGCAGGGTGTTTACATTCCGAACGTTAGCCACAGTTGACTACACTGGACCCAAAGTTAACTGTGTGACGCCAGACGGCAAGAGGATTTCAGATGCCAGCTGCTGCTGCTTCATTAGGACTGAGCAGAGGACAATTTCAGATTTCAGAAGTGTACATTGTATAGAGTAAAACGGTCTGAGAAATTATCGGATGTTTGTTTGTTTGTTTGTTTGTTTGTTTTTCTCTGGCCCCTCTGGCAAAGACCAGGATGTTTGTCATCCCTTTCTAGTATTGAGTTGCTGTGTATGTATGCATGTGTGTGTGGGTGTGTGTGTGTGCGTGGGTGCATGTGTGCGCGCACGCGTGTGCATGCTGGGGACATTGGGTGTCCTGCTCTACCACTCTCTGCCTTATTTTCTTGAGACAGCATCTCTCACTGACCCTAAAGCAAGCTGGTGGCCAGCCTCAGTGATCCTCCTGTCTCCAGCCCCTGGGCACTAGGGTCATAGGCACTCAGGCAGCCAGGCCTGCCTCTTCACATAGGTTCTGGGATCCAAACCCAGGTCCCCATGCTTAAACAGCAAGTGCTTCTCTCCACTGAGCCATCTCTCCAACCTGATCTTTGGTTTTTCTATTCCCCTCATAAGCGTCTTATTCTGTTGCCCACCGATTGCTCGAACAATTGAAATAATCTCTCAGATCTCAGCAAATGTCCTATGCACTCAAAGAGTAGCAGGGCAGCGCCCTTCAGGCATCCCTCATTTTCAGAGCTCCTGTCCCTGTAGAAAAAGTTGACTATTGATTGTAAGAGTTTGATGTCAGAAAGCACGTGTACTGTTTAATTGAGTTCTCTTTAAAAAACAAAAACCATGTTTCTTTGAAATTTGCTCTCAGCACCCATCTTCCCCACTTCTTCCTCTTCTTTTACAGAACAGTGTGGCCTAACACGTTTCAAATCCTAATAATTTCTGTTATACCTCACTCGTCATTCCAACACTTGTTTCTTCCAGAGCACCTTCCTGAACAGTCTATTCTGAGAACTCGGGAGACTATGTGCATGGCTGTCGCCAAGCACAGACAACCCATCTTTCACACCCTAAACATTTTCTTAGCATATTTTTTTTCCACAGGCGTTCTCAGAACAACACAAGAAGAGAGGATTTACAATCTTTTGCTTCACCAAGTTTAAGGCTCTGTAAGTAAATAATCAGTTATAACAGACCAATTTTTTCTTACTTACTACAATTCTGTGCATATGTCCCCCATTTCAGATTTTCACGTGTTCCCTGCTTCAAAGACCCCCTAAGCCACCAGGAAAAATATACAGCCCCTCTAGTCTCTTCCCCGCACACTGACAGCCACGTGCAATGTCAAGGCATTACCCCAGCTATCGACACTGTTAGTGTGAGCTGCCATCGCGTGTTGCCAGACTGTCTAGAGGATGAGTGACAAGCAGATGGAGACAACACTAAATTTAAGATGTTGTGTTGCTGTACAGCTTTGTAAATTGTTCTGGGAGATATGCAAGCCATGATTAAAAGAAACACAATTATTTTTAAATAAGCATATGGACTAGAGCAACTTCAAATGTCAATTACATTCACGTTAAGTTTATTCAAAAAATAAAAACAGTACTTTATTTTTCTCTACAGTGAATAGTCTTTGCAAAGACACAGCCATTCTTACCTGTGCAGCACTGAGGAGGTGTGTCCGGTAGATAGCAATGACTTCCTGGTGCTGTCTGTCAGCATCCTAGGGCCGTGGGAAGGCAGACAGAGAAATTAGCACGCACATCAGCAACACCAGGCGGCTCGGGAGATGCTGTGCCAAGACCTCCCGCTGTAGACTGGCAGGTTATTAAAGGGCTGCTGCCACTTTTAGAACAAAGCCACAGGTGCCGAGTTACATGTGATGGAGCTAGTGAAAGGTTTCCCATAACACACAGGAATATTACTGGGAAAGCAATGCCACAAGGGATCACTGCCTCAGTTTACCCCTACTGCCAAGAACTTGCCAAGCCGCCTACCAACTGATGCTTCAGGCCATTGCTAACACTTCCAAGCTTGTTTCCTGTGTCTCCTCTGTCTTGCTTCTAGGACTGAGCTAGCACTTCCCTTTTGTCAGTGCTGGCTTAAAGACCTCAGGTGGATGCCTCCTCACATAGAAGAGAGAATCCAAACTTATCAGCTTGGTCTTCAGGATCCCCACAAAGAAGCCCTATCTTTTCTTAATATTTATTTTTATCATTCCAAGTCTGTGTGCGGGTGCACAAGCGCGCACGCGTGCATGTGTGCATGCATGACTGTGTGATTGTGTGTGTGTAGCCCACAAAGGCCAGAGGCGTCAGATTCCCTGGAGCTGGAGTTGTGAGCTGCTGTGAGTTGCTTAGTGTGGGTACCTGCTGAGCCACCTGCTGGGGGCTGGTCTGGTACTGGTACTCTAATGGTAGTTACTGGCCCCAGAGATCTGGCTGCTGGCCCAGGGGAGCACATTCTCACAGATAACTGGCCTTGTTGTGTAAACCTTGCCTAGGAAGTTATTCCTGTTTGACCAAAAAAAAAAAAAAAAAGCCTAAACCTGGACAGAGCAGAATGGGGTAGGTGTAGCCAAAGTCTGTGGGCTTTGAGGACTGGAGGATCACGGGAAAGAGAGGTGGACAGGTACCAGAAGAGGAAGGAAGCAGAGAGCCACAATGGGTTATCAAGGAGCACATGGCCGGATGGGCATGGGTGGAAGAAAGTGGCCCAGATGGGAGAAGAAGCAAGTATTTATGGAGTTATGGAGGGAAGGTAGCCTAGATAAGAAATTTTAGAGCAGATGGCATGGGATGGGGGCTTGGGAGTAAAGACAGCTTAGAACATAATATCTGCCATGCCCCAGGTGATATAAGGCTATTCTAAAATCTATCAGGTGTCTGTCTTTTATTGATTGTGGTAGCGCCTTAGATTAATACCAGCACAATAATTATAGGATTAATAATAAACATTACTACACCATACTTTTAATTTAACACAACAGCCATCTCTCAAGTCCAAGTCTTCAACAACAACAAACCTGTGCTGCTCTTGCTGCTGTTAATGATCATGATTGTTTTAGTGTGCAGGACATGAGAATGTGGGCACACTGCTCAGGTTGTCAGGCTTGTGCACAGAGTGCTGTTGTCTGCTCAGCCATCTCCAGCAGGGGCCGCCGCTGTGCCCGCGAGGCCTGCCTCTTGTTACTCTCTGCTAGGTCCCAGCCCTGTGGGTCTTTTCACACCATTTTCATGGCCTGGACGATTCTCCACCTTCCTTTTACCCACCAAGCGCTTTACAGATTCAGGCCAACTTCTTCCTTCTTCTCTGGAACAGATCCCAGTTGCTGCTAGCCTTTCCTTCCCGGGAAGCTGTCTGAATGTGACCCCAGACTCCACGTGTTAGAAAGAGCTCCCTGTGGCCAGTGCCCATAGGGAAGAGGTGATTAGATCTAATGCTGATAATGACTCCAGGCATGTACCGCCACAGGCTTCGGCCTGCCAGGATAGGGTCTGTCTGAGAGGTGAGCCTGGCCCCTCTCGCTCTTGCTTTCTCATGGGATAGCTTCTGCCATGTTGTGACAGAGCCCGACAGATGCAGCCCCTCCAGAGCCCAAGAAGTCTTCTTAAACTCCCTGCTTTGTGCAGTGACGGTGGGCCAGTGCGGGGAGAAAGAACGGAGTGCTTATCGTAGGGGCGTAGAGCAGGCGCCACACAAATGACACTAACACTCTAAAGAATGGTGATATCAGCAAAAGCTACAGCCTTGAGGGTCAAGCCAGCTCCAAATGCACTCGATCTCCATGGAAGCTACACACCCTCAGGCTCGCACACTCCGCTGGCCCCGGTGCTCAGCGCCCTGGACACTCACCGCCAGCTGCTGCTGCAGATCCCGCACTCGGTGCTGCAGGGTGTCCACAAGCTGGCTCTGCCGCCTGGTGGGGCTGCCGCTGTAGGTGAGCTGGGAAAGGCCATTGAGCGCCTGCTTTAGTCTCTCTACATCACTCAGAAGTTCAGTTATCTTTGAGAGACAAGAGAGAAATCGTAGGAAGGCGTACGCCACCGTCTGTGATGAACACACTTGCACAGAAATCACACCTCACTTGAGACAGAGACTGTAAACAGCAGGTAAGATGCCGCCAAGACTCCCACAGAACACACAGCATAGAGTCACACAATTCTCCCACAGAACAGACAGCACAGAGTCACACAATTCTCCCACAGAACGCACAGTCACATAGAGTCACACAATTCTCCAAACAGAACACACAGCACAGAGTCACACAATTCTTCGACTTAAATTCTTCAACAAACTGCTCCCAAAGACACCACCAAGTTGAGAATGAATATCATGTATATCCTAACACTGGAGCGTGAACAAGGTTTTCTATGCATGTGAAAGGGCCTGAGGCCTAAGAACTACCTTCCAGGTGATGCTGTGAACACTGGAAAGGAGTTCTATTAGACGGAGCATGAAAGCAAAAGAGTGTGGTTCATGTGAGCACAGGATCCACTTATGTGCTTTCTTACCAGTTTTTAAAATTTGATTTTTGTGTGAGTGTATGCTGATGCGTATGTGCCCTTCTGTGTGCAGTGTCCACAGAGGCCAGCAGATGGCGTCTTGTTCCCCCAGAGCTGCAGCGAGGGGGCTGTGAGCTGACATTGGTGCCCAGTCTTCTGGAAGAGCAGCCAGCAAGTGCTTTTAACTGCTCAGCCATCTGAAGTCCCAGCAGTTGCACTGTATAATAACTGGCAATGTGAATGAGCAGATGCAGGAATTAGCTATCACAATGATGTGTGACTGCATCCTAACAACTTTGCACATAAACTGAGTGGATTTAAATGCTAGATCTTACGGGAAGGCGTGTTGCTGAGGACAGCTGGGTCAGAGGCTGCTTTTACTCATTCCCTATTTCCCCAGAGGGTAGAGACCATTTTATAATTACTTAGTGAATACATTAAGCTGTGATCAGTCTTCACATTTCATCTCCATGGTACAAACTAGACATCTACCAGTTTCAGAAATATTATTGCATACCCATTCTGCAAAATTGGACCATACAGAAGAAAACCAAGAGGGAAAGACAAATTATAAATGCTGCTCCTAAGCTGTTTTAACTTAAGGAATGGCAAAGCTAAAATAAAACCTGAGATTTTGGAGGAAGTGTTAGCTAGAGGCTAGACTGGCCAGCGAGGACTTGATGGCAAAGACGAAATGTTAAAGGGTGCACAGGACCCAGCACAGCACAGGAAGAACGAAACATCCCAGGCCAGATTTACAGAAACACTGTGCGGAATGCACGGTGGTCTCGGCTCTGGGTACAGGTCTGGGTGAGTAGGGAGATAGAGTCCGACGCTACCAGTGACCTGGACTTCTTGAACTCAGAAGCTACTAGATCCCAACTCCTCACTACAAGGATGTGAACCTCAGTCACCTCAATCGTCCCTTCTTCCCTAACTGTTAGCTGAGAGAACAGAAAAAAAAAAAAAAAAAAAAAAAAAAACTTTGAATTTCGTGCTTTTTCAATTTAGATTTTTTTTTTCATAACCATCTTCAACCTGAAAGGGCGGTACTTTAGTAATGGATTGTAGGCCTGTCTGCGGATTCCATGCCAAGGGATCCGACCTGAAGCCCCACACTAGGGCTCCTCTGCATGGCGACGCAGTCTGGACCCTGCCTACCTTGTTGTCCTTGGCTTCGATCTGCTCGGCGGACTCCTGAATCCTCTGCTGCAGCTCCATGATGGTTGTCAGGGACTTGTCACACCGCTCCTTCTGGTCCTTGATCTCCTGCTCGATGCTGAGATGGAGCAGTTCCTTCTCATCTTTGGCAGACAGTTTCTCCCCGCACACTTGGTGGTACTTCCTGTTCAGGCTGGCCAGTCTGTCATTCAAGTTGGAGATCTGGGCCTCCAAATCACTCTTTGTGGCTTTGTATTTTGACAAGTCAACGACCTCTCTCATCTCTAAGTTCTTCAGCGCCTGCTTGGTATTCTGAACCTCTGTCTGGAGTTTGGAGACTTCCTTGGTTTTGATCTGGCTTTCCTCTTCCTTTTCTCTCAGGCTGGCTTTCATGATGGTGACCTCTTTCTCTAAGGCCTCCTTTAGCTGCAGGTGATCCGCGAGGGGCACAGAGGAGTTCTTCTGGTTCTCCAGAAGCTGCTGGAGCTTGCTCACCATCTGCTGCTCTCTCTCCACGCACCTCTGCTTGCTCCTCAGCTCTTCCTTCAACTGTTCAATGGTGTCGTTGAGAGACTTTTTCAGAGTGTCCACCTGCTCCAGCGGGATGGGCTGTCTTTGCAGGAGGTTCTGGGCTGCGAGGACCTCGGAGGTCTGCCTGGCCTTCTCTTCCGCCAGCTTCTCCTTCTCGCTCTTCACGGTGGCGTACTTTTGGGACAGGTCCGTCAGCTGCTTGTTGAGTTCCTCCGTTTTCCCGCTCAGCTCCCGCTGCGCCTCCCGGGCCTCTTCCACCAGAACACTCCTCTCCTTCAGCTCCTTCTGAAGGGCAGCGAGCTCCCTCCTCAGCCTCTCGTTCTCTTGCTTGCCCTTCTTGGCCTCTTCGTCCCTCACACGACACTTGTGCGTCTGCTCCGACAGCTGCTCCTTCAGGGCTTTCTCTGCAGCCTTGAACTTGCGCTCACACTCTTCCAGGCGGGCTAGCGGAGCGTATTTGAGCTTGATGCACTCTTGGATGGTGTCCAGCTCCTTTTTCTGGGCCTTAATCTCAGCATGCAGCGCGCCGATCTCCTCCTGGCCTCGGCGGTGGTCCGCCAGGACAGTGGCGTTGGCCTCCTGCGCCTCCTTCAGGCTCTGGCTCAGCGCGCTCACCCTTCTCGAGTGCTCTTCCAGGCTCACGTAGTCAGCCTTCATCTGATTCTGCAGGTTCTCCAGGTTCCTTCTCAGTACCTCATTCTCGTCCCTCAGTTTTGAAAATTCCTGGCTCGTGTCATCACACCTTTTCTTCGCGTCAAGTAAGGCTCTGTTGGTTTTCTCCACTGTGCTGCTCAGGGCGGCCTTCACCTCCTCGTGGGTCTTGACAGGCACATACTGGCTACTCAGGGTCTTTTTCAAGCCAGCGTTTTCCGATGTAAGTGCACGCAATTTCTCCTGATCCTCTCCACATTTTTTATTAAGATCGGACAGCTGCTTTTTCAGCTCGGCAATATTGGACTTCAGGCCCGTTAGCTCCTGTTCGTGTTTTTCGGGCGCTACGAACACGGCCTCCAGGTGGTTGAGGTTCTTGGTCAGCCGGTCGTTCTCCGCCAGTAGCTGCTCAGCTTCCAGCCTCTTCTCGGCGTACCTCTGCGTGGCGTCAGAAAGCCTCCTGTTCAGATCCTCCAGGCTTGCGGAGTGCGCCTTCTTCATCTCCTCACTGACCTTCAGGGGCACGTAGTGCGTTTTCATCTCCGCCGTCAGGCTGTGCACCTGCTGGCTGAGCAGCTGGTTGTCCCCGTGGACCTTCTCCACTTCTTTCTGCAGCGTCTGGTTTTTGAGGGTTAGCTCTGCGACCTTCTTCCCCAGCTCTCCCGACTTCTGCTCCAACCTGCTCCTGAGCTGCTCGTGCTCCTCGGGTCTGACGTGCTGGGCCAGCTTGGCTCTAACGCTCTCCAGATCCCTCCTCAGCTGTTGGATTTCCTCCAGGGAGTTTGCGTAGTCCCGGCCCACCTCCGCCAGCCTCTTCGCCTTCTCGTTGACTTCACTGGATAACAAGCTCTTCATGCTGTCAAATTTCTCCGTGGGGATGGAAAGGGCCAGCTTCGCAGCCAGCTCTTTCAGCTGGCCCTCCAACTCCACGACCCTCCTCCCCTTCTTCTCCCGCTCCATCTCACACGTGCTGCATTCCCTCTGCAATCTCCTGTTTTCTTCCATCAGCCTACTTTCGTCCCTCCTGAACTCTTCCACCAGCATCTCGCTCTGTTTGATTTGGTTCCTCAGCTTTCCCACCTCTGCCGAAGCGCCTTCGTATTTGGCTTTCATGTCCTTCAGCTCCTCGGTGACGCGGTGGCTCCCTGAGGCTGCCTCACTGGTCAGGTGCTCTTTCAGGGCGAGAAAGTGGGTCTGCATTTGCTTGACCTTCCCTTCAGACTCATACATCCTCTTCTGCACGTCCTTGAGGGCATCTTCCAGCTGCCGGATCTGCTCGTCCGAGTCCTCCTTGACCCTCTCACGCTCCAGAGTTAGGGCGTTGCACTCGGCCACCTTGTGAGCCAGCTCGTTCTGGAGCTTCAGTCGGTCTTGTTTCGCAGAGTCACAGAGAGTTCGCATGGCCTCTAACTCTTTCTTTACAATCTCAATTTCAGAGTATGAGGTCTGACTGGGTAGAGACAGCTCCAGAGGTCTTAACATAGACCTGCTTTGGTGGGTGGGTACGCCAGGAGAGGTACACTGCGAAGAAATACAGACATCAACCACGGAACCTGAAGAAAACACTGTGCTGACTAGTATTTCATAGGGGCTTCTAGACAGTCCTCCATCATCAGCAATCAGAGCGTTTAGACCAATAAGATGGGAGAGATGGAGGGAAGAGGGAAAGGAACAATTTTTTGTAGCAAGAAAAACAGTTCTGGGTAGGATTTCCTTAATAAGTTCAAAACATTTTGAGAGTTCTCTTAGGGCAGTTTCTAAAGAAAATAATTGTGCCCTGGGCTGAGTCTCCTCTCTCCAGTGAGCATGCCCACATTTGGTGAGAACACCAGTTCATTAACATGCCCTACCATTCCACACCCCACAGAAAAGAGTCTCCCTAGGGTTTCAAGTTCTAAAGCAAGCTACCAGAAGCCAAGGAAACGCTAAATTTTAAATGTACAAATAGTTTCACCAATTATATATTATTAAACTTCTATTTATTTGTTTTATGAAGGTAAGAGAACAAATTTTGGAGTCTCTTCTCTCCTTCTACCACGTGGGTCCCAGGTTTTGAACTCAGGTCATCAGGCTAGCAGGTAGGCACCTTTCTCAGCTCGGCTACCTGGTATAAAATGTCTAATAAAACATATGTGACTTCTGAGCATCTTCACTGGTAACACCAACATAATGCTCTTTACATTTTCAAAATTCCACCAAAATGAGCCCACCTTGTATGAGAATTGTCAGAAAAATGGCAATCAACTTACCAAAAAGACATGTTTGCTTTCTAGCAGGAAGATAAATAAAAAGTTTAGCATGTAATCTTAATATAAAAATTGATGGGTACCTTGCTCTTTTGATTAATTAATTCTCACAAAAAAAGAAATATAATTGAACTTCCCAGAGAGAGTTCAACTGTCAGGGCACATAATCATGAAAGACTCTATATAACTATTTTCACTTTCCCTATCTAGTGACAATGTTCTTTATATAAATAATAATTCAACAATAAATGCCATGGGCCCTGAGGACATCCTTTGATTTCAGTGGGCAGAATTTTTTATTTTAAGCTACCTGGGTAAATTAAAACGTGCTGTGAATCAAGAGGAAGAAATCACCACCACAGAACACTTTCCTAGCTTTGGCTTGCCTCTAAGACTAGCTTTCAGTTACTCAGTTATCTTTGTGCTAACACTAGTGTAATTTGTCAAGAAATTACAATTACAGAGCCACAACTTCCATGCTATTAACCTTATTACAATCAAACATTTATCCCCAGTCTTCCTAACCACTCCGACCACTCTCCCACTAAAGATGCACCCTTCCATTATTCTTTTATTATTCTTTTCTTGAGTCTCAGTAGCTTCAAAAAACTATGCACCCGAAGATGACCTCACACTTCTGCTTTTCCTGCCTCCACCTCCCAAGTGTTGAGCTCACAGGATGTGCCAGCACACGAGGTTTCTGCAGGACTGAGGTGGACCCAGGCTTCCTGCATGCTGTGCAGCATGGAGAGAAATGCTCCATCCCCACTCAGAAAGGCAAAGAGGACAGACAACAGAGGAGGGAGGAAACAGGGAACAGGACAGGAGCCTGCCACAGAGGGCCTCTGAAGGGCTCTACCCTGCAGGGTATCAAAGCAGATGCTGAGACTTATGGCCAAAGGTTGGGCAGAGTGCATGGAATCTTATGAAAGAAGTGGGAAATAGAAAGACCTGGAGAGGACAGGAACTTCACAAGGACAGCAACAGAACCAAAATGTCTGGGCAAGGGGTCTTTTCTGAGACTGATACTCCAACCAAGGACCATGCATGGAGACAACCTAGGACTCCTGCACAGATGTAGCCCATGGCAGTTCAGTGTCCAAGTGGGTTCTATACTAATAGGAACAGGGATTGCCTCTGACATGAACTGACTGGCCTGCTCTTTGATCACCTCCCCCTGAGGGGGGAGCAGCCTTACCAGGACACAGAGGAAGACAATGCAGCCACTCCTGATGAGACTTGATAGACTAGGGTCAGAAAAGAGGAGAGGAAGACTTCCCCTATCAGTGGACTGGGGGAGGGGCATGGGTGGAGAAGGGGGAGGGAGCTACAGGGGAATACAAAGTGAACAAACTGTAATTAATAAAAATAAAAATTTCAAATAAAATAAAATAAAACTTATTATGTTAAAAAAAAAACAAATTTAGCCAGCATTCTACCTCTTGAAGTCAAATTTCAAAGCAGAGGATAAATATTTAATTGCAAAGAGAAAAACATTTCAGTGCCCAAGCGAACCACATTTGAATGATTCACACTTGTGTCCTCCTATATGAGCACGAGAGAATAGTTCACACTTGTAAGGAAGGCTGCAGATCAAAGAAACGGGGCAGAAATCCCAACCTCTTATGAAAGACAGCAGAAACAGTGGTGTCACCACAAACAGCCCCAGAAACAGCAATGTGTACTTTTATTAAACTTGAAAAGAGAGATCAACTTAGACCATGAAAACCTTACTCAGTGATAAAATACTTAGTAGTTATACAAAGATTTCTTCTTTTTAGACAGTCCCAAATGTTTTCTTTAAGAATCTTTTTTTCTTTTAGACAGAGTCTCACTATGTTCCAGGCTAACCTGAACTCACTATGTAGACTAGGCTGGCCCCAAACTCACAGAGATCCACTTGCAAAGGCAAGTGCTAACCACTCCTGGCCTGTTTAGATGGGTTTTTAAGTTAAGTAACACAAGTCTTACCTGTGAGTCTGTTGTGTACACTTGACCCTGCTTATGAAGCATGTCTTCTTTTCCTATTAAAACCAATAAATGATATTTTAGATATTTATGTCTAAGTTGACGTAGTGTGAGTTAAAGTAGGCATGAGTATAATTTCTTGTCCTTTATTACATAACCAAAATAAAAGCAGTACAATATAAACCTATTCTTGTTCTAAAGTAGCCATGTTTTCTGTTTTCAGTTAAAGGAAAGCACCTCCAGTCTGCTGACAGCAGGTGCAAGGTTGGCTCTTAAAAGTACCTAAGGCCGGGCCAGAGAGGCGGCTCAGTGGTCAGCAGCATGTGCTGCTCTCCCTGAGCTCCACTGGCAGCACACACGTCAAGCGGCTCACACTTGCCTGTAACCACAGCTCCGGGGGACCCAAGGCCCTCTTTCGGCCTTTGTTAACTTACCTATCCACACACAGATATATATTTCAATATAAAATAAACACTTTTAAAAAGTCTTTAAGACTGTAAAATTCAACAGGCTAGTCGATCACTATAAAATGTATAAAGAAATCTAATGTATAGCTTAAGCATCACTGTTGATCTTAGCTAGAGAAGCAAAAAAAAAAAAAATAGGATGTCTCTATTGTATCAAAGTAGAAAGTAAAACAAAAGAGCAGATGAAATTACGGGTAATCCTAAAACAATAATAAATAATCTCTTATAAACCTGTGAAATATTTACCTGCACTGAGATCAATTTCTCCCCATCAGAAAACTGTATTTGTTTCTGTCCATTAAAAAAAAAGAAAAACAGTCCTGATCTGGAGAAATGGCTCAGTAATTAAGAGAACTGGCTGCTCTTTCAGAGGACCTAGGACCTAGGTTCAAAACTCCCAGCACCACCAAGGCTACTCAGGGTTCCAAAGCTCTCTGTGGCCTCCTCGGGCACTGCATGCAGGGCCTCTGTGCCTGCCCATGGTGCCGGGGTGTAACATGCAGACAGGCTGCTGGCACAGGCAGTAGCACACTGTTTATGGAGAGGAACAGCCTACAGCAACAGCCACCCCTGTTTGTCCTGATCCCTCAACCGTGACAGAAACCCGTGCGCTCCCACTTACGGTTGCTAGAGTAACTTCCAGGTCCCAGATGATCACTCTGAAATCAGAAGTGTGAATTGAAACATTTTAGGTGCACATGGTCCCAATCTGCCAAATGCTCCATCTATTTTAGTTCTAACGGATCCTATCCTTGAAGACACTCCTGGGCATGCCGTACTCACTGTTCCTGCACCTGAGCCTACAAAGCACAGTGCTGGTGACAGTTAGGCTCAGCCTGAGCAAGCGCTTCCCTAAGGACACCAACAAACTCAGCAGAGAAAAGGCTGTGCTGCTTTGTGAGAAGAATGAACTGCAAAATAACTGAGAACCCTGATGCTTCCCATTTGCTACCACTGTGCCTGGGGGAAGGAAGTGGCCACAGTCACAGCAAGGACTCACTTCCATCCCCGCAGCCAGGACTGCCTCTGGGGTATTGTGAGGCAGACTGCTGTTGTTGCCAAGTTAAACCAGGGCAAAAGCCTGCACGTAACAGAGCAGCAGCAGTGAGGAGAAAGCAGAGGGACGCCTCAGATACCCTGGGTTAAAACGCACTTGGACTGACTCTTTTCCCAAGTGAGGTTGTCCAAAGACTAGTGCAGAGGTGAAAATATTATACTTCAAGGGTCATGGCATGCCAACTCCAACAGCTCAGCACCACTCCAGCTTAGGAGAACATGGCAACAGCAGCCCAGAGTTCAACATCTGTATTATTATCACCCTCAGCCCCATGGTCCACAGCTAACTCCCCTCCACTGGATACGGCGCCCCCAACGCAGGGAGAGGCACTCATTCTACAAGGCATGGAACAGTAGGGCCTGTAACTATTTCTTAATGCACTTCCACGTATGTGTACATGGTGGGTTACTCTATACCTACAGGATTTAAACACTTAACTTGGCTTTCTAATCTTTTCATAATTTCTCAATTACAACATAAAACTAGCTTCATTCTAAAGTGCCCAAAGTTGAACAAGATAAATACATCCATGTAACTGTTTACATGTAATTCATCGTAATATTGTGGACACTCAAGTCACCCCTGTGTGTCCACGGGTATGCTCAGATCCCTCACATTCCGCGGTGCAGAACACGGCTTGGACTATGGACATCCTCCTACGTGTGTTAGCTAACTTCTAGATTGCTTATAATGTCCAGCAGAGGGCAAACGCCATGGAAATAGCCAGTGTGTGGAATTATTTCAACAGAGAAATTTTCTCAGTATTTTTTATCTACTGTCCTTTAATTTATGGATGCGGGAAGAGGGGTATGGAGTGTTGACTATAAATGGTGAGTCCTGGGTTTAAATGACTAATTTCATAAGTACATGGCAAGTAGGCGCTGGGATTTTCTTTTTGCTTAAAAAAAAAAAAAAAAAAAACGAAACAAACAAAAAACTGCCTGTATAAAATTCGCCACAATGACGTCGTATTGGGAAAATGTGCCCATTGTCCTCTCAGGAAAGTGACTGAACAGGACACACAACATGATCACACCCACTGAACCAGGAAATAACAAATTATGCAAAGGAAATGAAAGACATTGGCCATGCCCTCGATCGCAGCATGAGATTAAAGTGTGTACTTTCGGTTTGAGGGTACTTTTTATTTGAAAACATAAATACAGCAGTTAAGAGCACTCACTGCTCTTCTAGAAGGTCCAGGTTTGACCCCCAGAACCCACATGGCAGCTCACAACTGTGTATAGTTTCAGTTCCAGGAAATCCAATGCTCTCTTCTGGCCTCCATGGGCTCCCAGTATGTGATACATATAAATAGTTTTTAGATAAAAATGTATGCTGGTGTTGAGATAAAAAAGTTAGTTACTTTTTTATAGTTTACCACGCCTTCTTGAGAGGTCTAAACTTGACGAATTTGTCTAAAGCTACAGAAAAGCAGGATTTTCTAAGACTTCCTGACTTTGCCTCCCAGAACTGGAAAACAAACAGCAACAAATCCCAGCCATCAGGCTCTGACAAGCATTCAGTAGCCCTGGGAGAGTGGAGAGCACAGAGGGAGAAGCTCCAAGCCTGGTCCAAGGTCAATCCATGAGCCCCTCCCTGGGGAAGTCTCCACCCCTCGGTCCCTTAGGTACACGGAAAAATGAGTCTTCACAAGGGACCACAGGTGTATCAATGTGTGCATGCCGCACGGCGCAGCTCCGTGCCTACAGCCAGGGCCAGGGCAACCCTGCCCACTGCTCCACCTCACGACCAGCCTTAAGAGGCCACCCGTGGCCTTGCAGACAGAGGGTGGTAGCCTCCGCTTAGGAGGCTTATAAAGCTGGGCTTCTAAATGACCATTGGAGGCACTCACAAATCTAAAATAAAACACCATTTTGTCCTCAATTTTAAAATCTGCTGAAGTGTCCCAATATTACCTGTGTAGTGCAATGACCTTCCACGTGTGCACACCTGTCTAACCGTAATCCAGATCAGCACAGAGAGGTTTACAGCGGCTTCCGAGCATCCTGATGAACTACAGCAAGAGGGAGCCCCAGCCAACTGAGCCCTCCCCAAGAGCCCTCGGGCTACAGTTCACTAATATAGTTCCCTATTTTTACAGCCACACTACTACACAGTCACAGGTTAAAACAATATATAAGGTTTTGAAAAACGACACTGAAGAAACGAGTCTGGAAAGGAACTAGATGTTACCTCCAGGCCACCAGCTGAAACGCTCCCAGCCAGCCTCCAAGGGGCATACAGCCAGAGAGAGCCACCCGGCTCTGCCAAAGTGGTAACAAAGACGCAGCAACTTTAAACAAAGGGTGGATTTATAACTCAGGTTCAAGTCTGACACCAGACTTCTTCTCACTACCCACTGTGAAGAATAACAAAAGAAAATAATTTAATCTTTCTGTACCTCAAAATATTTAAATCTGTTTTTCAGAGCCTCGATGGTTCTTAAGCTTTCTTCGTGCTGCTTTTCTTTAGCTGCCAAAAGGGACTTCAGCTTTTCTCTCTGAAATGGACAGAAGATGTAAACTGGCCTGTGCTTAGATGCAGTATAAACACCCCCTTTAAAAACGAAACTGGAATTACACGGGGACCTGGCTGGAAGTACTCTCCAATCTGGTGGATTTTAGCTATTAGCAGGGTTGCTAATTCCTAAAAATATACCAATAAAATGTATCACTAGAGGCAATATCGTTAAAACACTTGAAATTCCATTGGTTTAAATCAGTATTTTCAGACATTTTCTTTATAATTAGAATTGTTTGTTTTCTTAACAAGTTGCACTAAAGCTATACACCAAACAGTCTTCCAGCCACACACAGCTTGTTTTCCCTTTTAAATTTTACTCTAGTAATTGAGACACTAACGTAAAAACATGCAGATGAAAGTATGACACAATTCTATTAGCTAGAGCCAAACTCTACACTATGTATATCTGTATGTAAAGTCTAAAATATATGAAGTCCATTTGTGAAATCTCTATATGTCATGAATATATGTAAAGTCCCCTGTGTAAAATCTATACATAAAGTCTATATCATGAACATGCCTATACATAACATCTATAAAGTCTATAGTATATACAGTTCTACCCGTGAAGTCCACAATATAGAACCCATCCAGATTTTTTTTTTTTGTAAGCAAAGCCAGAAATAGAGTGTCCGTGTCCATCTCAATCAGGACTTGACTCTTCACTTCGGTACCACCCTCCACCTACAAGACATCTGGAGACTTTAAAATAAAGCAGAGCACCCTACCTCCATTTCCAGATCATCTGCAACCATTACTTCCTAGGGTAGAGAAGAAGAAACATGTTTTAATTCTCAAACATTTACCTTAAACAGCATGAAAATAACAAAAGGAATGGTGCATATCCTTAAAGTTGGGGACAGGATGTGAGGAGACACGTCTCTGGGCACTAAGCCTGCCTTGTTTCTGTCATTTGTCCTACGCACTAACTGCAAAAGCAGTTTTGATTCTTGAGTCGAGAGTCTGCAGACTCACGCTTTTCCTCCATCACAACCTTCAGTGCTGTGTGGATGGTCATGGCTCTGTTCTCTCTTCCCGGGACACCTAGTAACTCAGATCTGAGGCTTTCTGTTCTCCTCCTTGCCACACTTAAGAGTTCCTTACCTTTCCCTAGACTGTGGGACCTTTTCCCAGTTTTATTTAGAGTCAGAACGTTCCCTCTTTAAAACATCCTATTTTAATGCAGAGACAAACATCCTCTTGCCTTGTGGATGATACTAACAGTCCTGGGCTGAGGCTCTCCGTTCTCTTGAGTCAAGAGTGAGTGGAGAGCTCAGGAGCTCCAAGCCTGAGTGTGACTAAGCGGCCTCACTGCAGGACGATGTGACTGGGCCTCCCAGCTACAGGGGCCTCATTTCAGTGTCTAAAAGAGGAGCATTTGAGATGCTTTACACGGCCATTTGAAGGGTTACTTGAGTCTGCTTCCGTGTGGCTGCGTGAGCACGTGTGCACTGAGTGCAGGCGGCTGTGGACTCACAAGAGGGTGTTAGACCCCGGAGCTGGCCTAACAGGTGGCGGTGAGCAGCTGGGTGCGTGTGCTGAGCCCTCTTCGGAGCAGCACATGCTCTGAACGGCTGAGCCACCCGTCAGGCCCACACACCCAGCATTGCACAAGCCAGAGGAAGCGCCACGTGTCCCTGCTTCTGGGACTCTGCTTGGAGCAACGGCCCTGGACTACCTCCTTACCCCACCCGGCTTTCCTTCAAAACAACCCAGTAAGCAGCATCTCCACAAGAAGACCCCTGGGGGACGGCAGCCCGTGGTGATCTGTCCTCTCACCTAAATCTCCACTGTCAGCCTGCAAGCTGTCCAATGTCAACATACACATACATCAGAGATATGTGCATGTGTGTGGGTGGGTAACTGAAAGTTTCCAGTGAAGGCCCCACTATGATTACAACACCCAACAAGGGCCTTAACCCAATTTCACCTCCTTTAGTACCTTGACTTGAAGAGATGAGCCACAGGTAACGATTGACTGTGGCTGACTGCTACTGGTGGCAAAACAGCTTTTGGATTTTTTTATGTTATTATTTAGACTATTCACCTCATTCAGCTGTAACTGCAAGCCATTGACTTTATCCAGGAGTATTCTTTGCTCCTGCTGAATTCTCCTCAACTTCTCTCTCAAATCTTCATTTTCAATCTCCAGATCCTTTAATAATAAAGAGAATCAATCAGCCTATCAGACCATCGACACAGGGAGACTATGGACACACAATGCTCTCACAGACAGGTGTGCCTCTAGAGAACATTCTAGAGTATAAACGACACAAAACGGTTCTGTGGGGTTGGAGCGATGGCTCAGCAGCTGATACTGCCGTCTGTGCAGAGGACCTGAATTAGGTTCCCAGCACCCATGCTGGCCAGCCACGCCAGCTCCAGGGGATCTGAGATCTTCTAGTTTCCAGAGGTGCCCGCGTTCACACACGCATGTGCACACACACGGAGAGATACTTTTTTAAAGTTTTCTGTGGATTTTGTTTCGTTGGAAGGGCTGGGTTTCAAGTTCAGGGCCCTGCACATGCCTGCCACAGGCTCCATCCCTCACTCACAATATAATAGTTCCAACTGTCACTGACGGAGAAATCTGAAAACCAACCGTAAATTCACTGCTATCTTAGCTGGGAAGTTCAAGCAAAACAAGAGCACGTAGTTGTCACTGTGATAAGTGAAAAATAAAAGCAACATATGGAAACAAAGTAGCAGAAGGCTGTGCACTTTTAGCTTTTGCTTAAGAACTCCCAAAATTATAAAAACATTCCAGTCCTTTTCCTAAACTGACCCTTCCATGGTGGCCCTGATAAAACACTGTAATCTCCTTCATAAGGGCTCAGTTCACGGTTTAGGTTTTATTTTTAATGCCCACATAAGTGCAGTGCCAGCCAGTGGCCAAAAGAGGGTGCTGGCTCCCAAGAGCTGGAGGCACAGGAGGTTGTGAGCCACCTCTCCTGGATGCTGGACTGAACTCAGGTTCCCTGAGAAGCAGTATGTGCTCCAACAACTGAGCTGTCTCTCCACCCTGGCTCCCGAGACCCCCTCCCCCCTTTTAAAGACAGGGTCTCCCTCTATAGCCCAGGCTAGCCTTGAACTCATGCTAATCTTTGTGTCCCAGGCTCCCAAATGCTGGGAATTCAGGCATAAGTCATCACATCCAGCTACAATCCACTTTCTTGACGCTACACACCAAGGCAAACACACAAATAAAACACCCTCACTCCATCACACTCAAAACAGATGTTCAATTTAGTTCGATGGTGGTTCAATGAAGGAAACTAATTAAGGCTCTTTCTCCAATATAAGCCATGTAATAACTCCCCCTGATAACCATGAAGTGAAAGGGTAGAGAGTTGAGAGGAATTCTTTTTCTTAATCAAAAACAAACACTACTTTAAGTTCAGGCTTTATTTCCTAAACATTAGTGGCTCTCAATTTTATCAGCACAATTTTGTAAACTGAACATAAATGTGCGGTTTCGGTGACAATAACATATTGCCCTACACACATAATTATTTTCCATGCCATAGGATTTACTTGTATAACATTCATGAGGAAAGCCAGTTCCTAAGGAAGAGCTGGCGAGAGGCCGCCACAGACACCATGAGCTCCTTGCTGACCACCCCACCCCTCCTGCTACTTTGCTTACTCTTTCTCTCATTATAAGCAACATTCAAATCATTTTCCTTCTTGAATTACAATGATTTGTTTATTTTATTTATTTAACGAGAAAGAGAGAGAAATCTAAGGCACAGATGGGAGTCACTTGCAGAAGGCGGGCCCAGGGATTGAACTCAGGTCACCACACACGGCAGCCTGGCTGTGCTGAGCCTCGGACTCTGCAGTGTTCTCTGAGGCAGGTTACACGCCTGCTTTTCTCTTTTACCTGAAAGCTGTGGTGCTCCCTCTGGTTTGACTTCATGTTTCCTTCATCCTGAGGGTGGGACAAATTCCGCTTTGATAAAACATTAAGAAAACACAGCTTAGAATGTCTGATGTAACAGAAGAGTACATTTTCTCTTAATGCAGCGGCTCTCAACCTTCCTAATGCTGAGGCCCTTTAATACATATGGCTCCTCATGTTGTAGTGACCCCAAACCATAAATTATTTTCATTGCTACTTCATACTGTTATGAACTGTAGTGTAATATCTGTGTTTTCTGATGGTCTTAGGAGACTCCTGTGGTCGGGCTGTTCCACGCCCAGCTTGAGAAGCGCTGTCGATGGGTCTTAGACCTGTAGGTGGCTTTCAGGTCATCCAATGTTACAGCTCCCCATCCACACCACAAGGTGGCAGTGTTACTACTTAAAACCCCCAAATGGAACACGTCCAGGATACAGTGAGATTTTTAAACTTCTACTAAGAACACCTTTTAACGGAAGCCACAGTGTTTAAAAACAAAAATATGTAAGAGACACAAAACAAAGAGTTCGGTCTCTAGATTGTCACCTAACCCTAAAGGAAGAAATCCATTTAAAAACACTGGCGGAGAGGGGAAACCCGCTGAGTGTGAACGACACTGTGGTGGTCTTCCCTTCCCAGCGTGGCGGGTTTGGGGGCTAGGGAGGACCAGCAGTGCTGCAGCCCATCTGCACAAGGGCCTCGAAGAGCTCAGGTGGGTACGCAGCAGCTTGTACACCCGCTGCCTGGAAAGTGCTGCAGCTTTAACATAAACACAATGCAGCAGCCGAGGACACACAATCCATCTCCACAGCTGCACAATAGCTAATCCAGAAAGCTATTTCTCTTCTTGAATTGTTCTTTATTTCTTAAAGCTACTGGTTCAATTCTCCAAGAATCTTTTTTTTTTTTTTTTTTTTTGTATGTTATATTACTGGTTTGAGCTTTGAGTTAACCAAGTTGTAACCATCACTTGAGCAGGTCTGGATGGAGCACTGGAAGGCAGCGTTCCATGCAGAGGTATTGTAGCCATAATTGTAGCCATAATTTGGTCTGCACTATTTTCCCAACTTTGTTCATCAGCTGGCACCTGACAGCTCTCCATTCGCTCCATCCCACCACCTCCTGCTTTCCCCCCTCCCTAACCCTTCCACCTCACCCTGCCAGGCTCAAACGCTGCCTCAATTCCAGCCACTAAGAGCCAAGAGAACCTTCCGGGCTCCTCTGGCTCCCTGTGGTAGTGCTGCATGAGGCCTAGGGACTTCCATCCTGCCTTCTGCTGCTCAGTACTCCTCTGATGAGATACACCCAAAATCGTGTGCATGCAAAACGTTTCTTCCTCTGGCCTCTTTACGGCCTGTCACACTGCTTCACACTGGCCTTAGCCACACTCTCAGAGCAGGGCCTTGGGACAGGGCTTCCCTCAGGAAGGCATCTCTCACAGCTTGTGCTCTCCGTACAATTTTCCCTCAGAGCTCCCCATGGCTCTCCTTTGTGCTAACTTGTATCTCTGTTACCAGCTGGAGCACTCCAGGAGGGCAGGGACTCAGCGCGGCACACAACCCGCAGCACTTACAAGCAAAGACCAGCCTGCCTCTGACCACTACATCTGTTACTAGACACATAGCCAAGAACACACCCAATCTACAACTGATCTCTACAAATATATTCAATAAATCAGAGAATCCTTGTATTGGAGCCATTTGTCTTACTATTCCCAGCAAAATATTGATTCTCTGAATTCACTTAGGTAATTCCTACATCTCGGAGCAACGTTCCAGTTCCATAATGATAATCAATACCACTTTATTTTAAACAGATGTACATTTCAGAGCCCTGCTCGTTAGGTGATCTGGAGATAGTGAAGACTAAGAGCAGTCGCTCCAGACAAACATGTCAGCAGACGAGACCCAGGCATGAAGTCTGATGGAGAGAATGGGAGCCGAGATGCAGCTGTTGCATGGCCGTCAAATGATGGAAAGGTGGAGATGATGCAATGGGTGTGAAAGACGCTGGGAAAGTACCTGGTCCCTTCCTCCTCCGGGTCAGGAGATGGCCACACTCCCCGACTAGAGCAAAGTGGGGAGCCTGGGAGGGAGTGGCCAGCAGAGGACTGCCAGCACTAGCTGTGGAGCCAGGGTGTCGTGAATAAACCACTCTAACTTGGAGAGATATGAGGACAATGTTAGACTTTCACTCAGGCTGGGATGTAAGGTGGGGAGGGATCACAATGAGATTAGTTAAGATTAGTACCAAGTAAAGCAGTTTTATGGTATCGTGCTAATTTTTAAATTAGTCAAGCCCTCAATTAAATGCCTACAGAGAAGACACTAAAAAGAAATAAACACATTAACAGTGGTGTCAAAATCACACCATATAATCAGTTTGGACTGTTTCCAGCAAGGTGTGTTGGTACATGCCTGTTATCGCAGCATTCAGGAGAGACTGAGACAGGTCAACAAGACCAAGGGCAACCTGGGCTACATAAGCAGGACTCTTGTCTCCAAACGCAAAAACAAAACCCATTTTTTTCTTCATTTATTTCACTGAAGTATCTTCTAAAAACAGTCTAATCAGCTCTGTCTTAAAGCCAAAATCCCCTGCAGAATCTCAGCAAGGTCTGCATCCCATACAGGAAGAGGTGGGATGCTCCAGGCTCGGGGCAGGATGTGACTTCCTACTGGAAACTGAGAACCAAAGGCCCTTGTCTCAAGCCGAATGGCACAGTGGTGGTAATAGGACCAGCTCCCTGAACACCCACTTCGTGGGCACAGACAATCTGAAGGCAGACAACAATGTGCTAAACTCAAAACGTCCTCTGTGTATCCACCAACCAGTTTTAAAGAAGACATTAGTGAAACAATATGATAGAAGTTTTTAAAAGTTAAAATAAAGGCACACCTGTTGCAAGGATGGTCCTTTCTTCCAAAGTTCTCTCCCTAAGGATTTAAAGAGAAAAGCCATGAAACAGCAGCATAACTTGGAGAGAAGGCCTCCAACTGTACCATCAGGGTCACTGAGGCAGAAGGCCTCCAACTGTACCATCGAGACAACATCCAATTTTCATTTACAGCTTTAATTTTCCTTTAAAGCTTGCTCCTTTTTAGTTTACTCCCAAAACTTATATTTACAACAGTAGTGAAAGAGTCTGTTTTGCTTTCCAAAGTAGTAAAGGTTTTTTAAAATGATGATATTCAAATAAATAGAAAGGTAACTATCAACATATGCAAAAGCTTAAATAAATATGCACAGCCTGTAACTCAGTAATTCAAAGTGTAGGGAATGGTCCTTTTTAAGATTTATTTCACTTTTTATTTATGAGTATGTGTGTGTGGAGAGGCCAGCGGATCCCTTGGAGCTGGAGTTACAGGCAGTTGTGACACAGCCAACTTGGGTGCTAGCAACAGAACTCAGGTGTTGTGGAAGAGCAGCAAGTGCTCTTAACTGCTGCGCTAGCTCTGCAGCCCTCCAGGGACGATCTAGGTGATCATACATATGTTAAAAAATGTTTTACATACACATTAGTAAAAAACTAAATAACTTAAATACCACCTATCTAAAGGTGCTTCATTAAGCCAAATTTAAATGAAAGAAATTTTGCACATCACTAAAAATTATGCTACAAACAAATTTTATTCAGGAAGAGCCTTCCAAATGCATCACATAAAACAGCTAAGGTGCAGTTCAGAATTCAGGCAGCCTCCATGTCACTGCACAGGTAAGGGACAGACTGGAGGGTAGGCTTCAATGCTAATAGAGGCTCTCTGGAGGCAGGGCAAGCAGATAACTCCACTGAGCTGTTCTGGCCCCAGCTCTTCCACAGGTGTCAGCACATGCCAGATGAATATTTTAAATACTGATATTGTCTTTAAAAAAATTTTTTTTGACAGCCTAGGGCTAGAAAGGTGTCTCAGTGGTTAGAGCACTTACTGCTCTTGTGGAGGATCCAAACTCCATTCACAGCACCCACTCTGGTGACCCACAACTTCCTGACACTGCAGCTCCAGGGACCTGACGCCCTCCTCTGGCCTCCACTGTACCCACACTCACATGCAGAAACCAGTGCACAAACACACATAATTAAAAATAAAAACTTTAAGACGTAAAACCACAGTGGTGCATGCTGGGAAGGCTGAGGCAGAAAGATGGCAAGTGCAAGGCCTGCCTGTAAGAGATCCTATCTAGAAACTTGCAGGCACCTTTGTTGGTGTTTTCTGACGCCGTCTTCAGTAGGTTCAGGATGTCCAGATTGTCACCAATTCTCGCATAGTAAGAACTGTCATGGCCAAGAGCATCCAGCAAGGTCACGTCGGCACCATTTTTAACCAGGACTTCTACAGCATCTCTGCAGCCGTACTCACAACCCAGCATGAGAGCGGTCCTGAAAGCAGATGGAAAAATCAAGACCTTGAGGATGCCACAAGAAGTTAGATTTCATATGGATTCAGATATTACTTTATCTTTTTGTATTTTTAGCTTATCACATTTATAAAATAAACAAAAATCCTGTTGCTCTGTGTTTAGTTGCAGAAAGAAAGTCTAACTTCTTTTAGTTGCTGTTTGCCAGCCTTGGTCTCTCTGTGTAGCAGAGAATGATCCTGAACTCCTCCTGATTCTGCTGTCTCCACCCCAGTGCTGTGAGCACATACCACACCTGTCCATCATCTTACACACTTAAACCACATCAACAAGATGTGTTTTCCAGTTCTTCAATGTAAATAATTACTGCAAAGATCTTCCCTAACTGCAGACGTCGCCCGATCGCACAAAACCCAACAGTTCAACTACTGCTGGTGAACTAGCTCACGCCACAGGAACTTTCGCTGGAACCCTACCCAGCACTGAGGAAGTTAGACTCTGCTCTCGGTGCCCTGTTTAGAGGAGCCTTGCCGGGCTGGGGCGCAGCTCAGTACTTGCCCAGCATGCACACGGCCCTGAGTTTGACCCCCGAAGGCAGGGCTGTGCGTGGATAAGGGCCTGAGCGCCAAGACCAAGGCCACCCTTAGCTTCATGGCAAGTGTGAGGCCAGCCAGGGAGACACGAGCCCCATTCTAAGTAAGTAAATAAATAAATGGACAAACAAACAAGCAAACAAACAAAGCAAAGGTGCTGGATGAACGAGCCTTGATTCCTCACATGCTGGCCTTTCAGAAGCACACCCTGACTAATCACGAATCTCCATGGCCTCTGTTTCCACCATCAGCACAGGAGCATCTCAGACTGTGTCCACAAGGAACAGTCATGTGGCAACACAGCTAATCCTCAGAGAAAGTCAGCAGGATCTTAGAAACAGTCTTGTGAAACCCACCCTTACCACTGAGGGAACCGACTCTTGATGACATAGTGACCAATCCTGCGGCTACAAAAGTGACTGATCTTACGGCCAATAGAATGACTCATTCTTCAGCTAGTAAAACAGCTGAGCCTGTATTTTCTAACGTGACTTATCTTACATCTACTACAGCGACTGATTCTACTTAATCAAATGACTGGCCCTAACCCACTGAAGTGACTGATCCATATCCAATCAGGCAACTCACCGCATCTCTACCAAAGGAACTTAGCCTGCATCTGACGGCTGCTTCAACTGGGAACCCTGGACACCCTGACCTTACGGATGTATGCAAGCTCGCTTCTGTAGCCCCCTTAATAGCTGCTATCATACACATCTACGCATAGGAGAGTAATAAAGTTTCCCATGTAGATTAAAACCACTAAAGATAAAATGAAACACTCAGTGTCAAAAACCGTATTCCTAAAACCATCTGCTACACACTTATACAAATATGCATCACCTCTCCTCAATACCATAAAAATATCTGAAATATCAAAAACTGTCTGAATAATAAAAATTCAAGCAAAAAGTTGATACCTAAATACTATTTTATTGCATCCGCGTTCTTCCAAAGAGCTACAAACTCTAGGATGCATGTTTAATTAATTAAAGGGACATTTGTTAGTAAGTATAAAAGCTCAGCTATTTTGGTGATAAAATATTAAAATAAACAAACTAATTGGTGAAATATCTTCCAGTTGTTTGTCAACAGAAAGTTAGTGACCAAAATCACCATAATTCTAGTATAAGTAACCATTGTGACATATTTGGTCAAGAAATAAGACAATTGTAGATAGAAATTACCAGTCCACAGCAACTGAATAGCATTAAATATAGAAGGAAATATCAATAAAGAGACTCTGTCCTGGTTAGCAGTGACTGACCAACTCAGCCAGCCTACAGCCATTTGAGAAGAGAAGCCTCAGAGGAGGAATTACTTAGACCAGACTGGCCAGCAAGAGTATCTGTGGGGACTGTATCAGTTATCAATTAATGAGGTGGTCCCAGCCCACGTGGGCAGCACCAGCCCTAGGCAGGTGGGATCAGCCCCCCACCCCCACCCCAAGCTGCCTTTGGTGAAAGTGCTTTAGCACAGCGACAGAGAGGAAACCAGGACAAGTACTTAAGGCACAGGTGAACTCAGACCTGGAGGCTAATTAGAGACCCCAAGGAAACCCATAGTGACTCGCTGTCAAACTCCCAGATACCCAAGAACCACTTTAATCTCAAGATACTCTCTCACCTAAAGAAACAGACTGTACATATAATTTTTAATTGCCTTTACCTGTACCTGTTATGTACCTTTAGAAAACTTTAAATAGCCTAGGCAAGTAGGATTCCTCTTTTCTTAGTTTTCTGACCCAAATGTGAGCCCTAGTTACTACACTTCCTCAGCACTTATCCAAGAAGAGCAAGGCCAGTGGGAAGACGGGGTCATAGCCACAGTGTCACAGACCCATAAAAGATTTACCTGTTTTGTTTGTCTCTGGAATTGACATCTGCCCCTCTGTCTATCAGTAACTGACAAATCGCCGGCCTGCACATCTGGGTCGCCAGAACAAGCGGAGTCCGCCCATCCTAAGCAACAAGAAAAACAAACTGACGCTATGGCAAGGCATCTTCCAGAGCGTGTGCTGCCCTGCATGAGCTGAACGAGGACAAACCAGCCGACTCACCACGTCTTTGGCATTCACGGAGGCCCCGTGGTCACAGAGCAGCTGGATGCTGGAAGGACAGTCTGCCATGGCTTTGAGGGACAAAGGGACAGTGACAACTGTGAACACCTGCTGACATGCAGTGCATCCCTGGGTTCAAGAAAGGAGACCTAAATCCCCTTTCAGGCCGCCAACTCCACATCCCTCACTCAGCCCAGCACGGCACACATCCGCTTTCTATCTTAGAATGGATCAAAGAGGAGCTCTGCAGAGCTGTAAAATTACTCATTTGCTTTGCAAACAACATTATTCTGTATACAAAACAGAGAGAAAAAGGCAATGAATGAGAAATTAAGATACCGTACAAGTACCAAAAATGGAAAAAGGAAAAGAAACTGAAAATAAGTTATGTTTAAAAAAAGAAAGGAAAGGATGAGGAGATGGCTCGGTGATTAAGACCACTTGTGGCTGTTCTGGGGCGGGGTGTGACGCCCTCTTCTGACTCTCATCGGCACCTGCACACATGTGGCATTCAGCTGTACACACACAGAGCATGCTCAGCACGCCTGGCCAACAGGAATCTGCATTATTCCTCCTCACATCCTTCCCATCTACCAAAATGGCCAACCTGTGAATACTGGATGAATAGAATTTTTCAAGATTTCGTTTTTATTTTACTTTGAATTGTGTGCGTATGTACAGAGGCGGGGGAATGATGTACATGCACACAGCCCCACACAGGTCAGAAGAGGGTGTGGGAGTCCCTGGAGCTGTGGTTACAGGTAGTTGTGAGCCACCCTGCATGGGTGCTGGGAACTGAACTCAGTCCTCTGCTGTGAACATCAAGTATTCTTAATGCTGAACCACCTCACCAGCCCCCGATTGGAATCTTTTTCAGCTGCAATTAGTAAATTTCAATTTTAAGCATACAAATTCATATTTTTCTCCATAATATCCAAAGGAATCAAAGCAAGCCACTCCCAGGGATGCCGTGTCTTCGAAAGGGTTGTGCCCGGGAGGGAGCCCTGCTCACCTGCGTCGTGAAGGGCAGTCCTCCCCTGGAGGTCCACGTGCTCAGTGGGACAGTTGTACTGTTAAAACAGAGCGAGGTGGTGACGCAGGAGGGCTTTAGAACGCTAGACCCCCGCTCAAATCAACAGCTGCTATCTAACCTTAAAATATTCCACTTAACAAGACAGGAAAGCCAACTAACAATCCACTCAATATTTTGACATCAAACAAATAAAATAATGCCGCAGAGCTGTGAGCCGAACAGTACTTGGCCACACAGGAAACATATGCCCACTACAATAGCGTGCAGTATTGAAAAGATGTTATTGTTTGAGGTTTTTGTTTTGTTTGTTTTGTTTTCACCAGCAAGAGGTAAAATAAACTACAGGAGAACAAATCAGTCCTAAGTGTCAACATAGGGCTACACGCTTCGGCCAAAGCCTTCACGCAGCCAAGTGGCTAGCATAGTCCTGTGGCTGCCTGTTAAAAAGTCATGACATTAGTATCATGTCGTATAAGACATCTGTTCAGACACAGGAACATGAACCCCGTGCTGTTCTCTATCTGGGGCCACGGTCTAGGCACCAGAGAACCCTGGCCGGCAGCTCATAGCAACAGGAAGGTCACCTCTCTGTTGTTTGTTTTTAATATACTTAGTTATGTGCCTCACTTCCCTCGCATTTTTGTTCCTTATTGTTCAGATTCCTTCACAAAGGAGGAAAGAATGACAGCTAAGCGAAGGGGGTAGTGTTAGCCTGACACACTTTGAGCTCGAGCGTTACGGTCTCCTATGGCGCGAGCCATTCGCCACGTCTACCTGGAGAAGCTTCTGCAGGCACAGTGCGTGGCCATACTTCGCCGCCAGGTGAAGCGCGTTCCTCCCTGCAAAGGCAATCACAGCAAGCCTGTGTGAAGGGTTATTTTCTTCAGCCAGGAATGTTTACAGCAATATGACATTTTTCTGCCCAGTTGGTTGACAGGATATTTCATTTGTAAATAGGCTTTCAGTTCCTAAGATGTTTGACATTTTAGTAATGTTATTACCTGTACCCCAAAACTCTGAAGGCAGCAAGAAAAATGAGTTCTGCAAATCCCTGAGGGGAGGAGCTCTGTCCTCATGTGCCTCCAACCTCCAGTATCCAGAGCAGTGCCTGAGACACAGTAGTTACATATTGGCACTGGGAAAGGTGCTGAAGATGCCTCAGAGGTTTAGAGCACTGGCTGCTCTTGCAGAGGTCCTGGGCCCCGTTCCCAGCGCGGTGACTGCAGTCTCAGAGGAACCCAGGCCTCTTCTGGCCTCCCATGCTGTGCAGTCATATACGCAGGCAAAACACCAATCCACAGAAAACAAAAATAAAGACTTTTCTTTTTAAAGGCAAGAAAGTAGGTATAGAAAGGAAAAGAAATTCCTAGACTTCACCTAACATTTCTAGCTAGCTAGTGTGGGCATGAAAAATGGAGGATGTTAAGAAACTGATGGCCCAGCTGGGCACAGTAGTGCAAGCCTGTAATCCCAGCACTGAAGGAGGCACACAGGCAGATCTCGGTGAGTTCAAGGCCAGCCTGGTCTACAAAGCAAGTCTAAGACAGCCAAGGCTACACAAAGAAACCCTGTCTTGAAAAACAAAATGAAACGAAACAAAAACAAACAAAGAAATTGATGCCAAGATAGTTTTCTCTCATTTGTCAGTTTCAGGTAAATTTCAGTGTTGCTTATGAGAGTGTGTCTCTGAAAACCAGCCCATTCAAATATAATGAGTTTAAGTGTATATTAATTTTTTAAGATTAAAAATGTTATTACACATATGTATTTTTAGTGAGGAGGGGCGCGCACAGGCCATGTGGAGAGTGTGGAAGTCAGAGGACACCGCGAGGAGGTTCTGGAGCTCTGAATCAGAACAGCAGGATTGAACAAGTGCTTTACCCATCGAGCAGGGCCCGAACTGTGCATTGTCAGGAAATGCCTAAGAGGCTGGGGAGGGGAGACTGTGCATGAGAGGAGGCCGTGGGTGTGAGAGGAGGGGAAGGGAGGCCGTGGGTGTGAGAGACTGACTCTGAAGAAGATAACCCTGCAAAGGAATCAGATATTCTAGCTCTGTCTCTCTCTCTCGTCGCCTTCGTCCCTCTTGTCTGGGGTGGAGGCGCCCAGGTGCCGCAGCAGCAATCAGAGGACAACAACAGAAGTCAGTTCTCTCCCTCCACTGTGTGGGTGCACGTGGGATTAAACTCGTGGAGCACCTCGGGCCACTGACATCTCCTCGCCCCTCCTAACGGCATCTCCTTACACACACATCTCGCTTAGATGGTGAAAGGCTCAGGGGCTCACTTGGCCACACCGACACCCTTTCTATAATACTCGGTGGCTCACTCCAACATCGCAAGTCTCTGAATGTGCAGCTCCCTTTCACAAGCACATTGGCTGGAAAAGAGATTGTATCTGATGATTCTGGACTGACAGAAACACAGGCTTTCAATGTGAGTGTGAGAAAGCCTTACAGCTCCCCAGGTCTGATCAGTGGTTCTAACTAAGCGTGCAGAGCCCAGGTCTGTAAGCAGGCTCAGAGACAGCACTTCCTCTAGGTGGCTGCACAGAACTGTATCACAATTCAGTTCACGGGCTGCAGATGTAGCTCACAGGGCTGGCAAGAGAGCTCAGTGGGTAGAGGCACTTGCTACCCAGCCTGCTGGCCCAAGCTCCAGATACACACAGTAGAGAAAATCAGTTTCTGCTTTTGCACTCTAATCTCCACGTGTGTGGCTCAGGCATGAGAGTGCTAACTTCCATACACACACAGACACAACAATAACTAAAAATATCAAAGTGAGTCCTAGAAAACTAACAATGGTTATCCTAGTTAATCAAAACCTAGCGTTCTCATTGAGGAAAACCAACAGCTTTGTTCAAATACTTGCATGTTTATCTTGGAAGTGCAAACTCAGCAGTGAGCTTTAAAGAGACAGAGGTAAGCAAGAAACAAGGACAGAATAAGATTCCAACTGTCTATAAAGTCAACTTGTGAGACAGCTGGGCGAGGCCCGGGGCAAGTTACCGGGGTAAACACCTCACGGGCTGAGGTGAGAGTGAGGTAAATGAATGTGAGTGCAATGTGTTCAGTGCTCAGCAGCTCAGCAGAGCAGCCACCCAGATGTTCCAGAGCGTCAGCTGTCAGCATTCTTATCGCCACCATGTCGCTGCCGTTTGAGGAAGTTATCTCTCCAGCACAGAAGACACCCAACTGAATGTCAAGTGACCCCATCACAGAGAGGACATGGCACTGGCTATGAATACAGACAAAAGTTCCTGAAAGCGTCAAATTCGGGCTTTTATGGACCAGTGCTGGATTACAGTTCTACTGCCCTTCCACCCCAAAGCCCTGTACTTGATCTCTCCCATGGTGATACTCAGGAATAAATGCTTCCTCAACTCAGGAGCTCGGGGATGGAGCAATGGCTCGGTGGTTGCTGCTCTTGCAGAGGACCTGGGTTCCCAGCCCACAGCAGCTAGCTCACAGCGAGATCCAGGGGATTTTCACACCCACTTCTGGCCTCTACAGACACTAAACTCACACGGTGCACATACATACAGCCGTGCGTACAATATGCACAGATAAAATAGATCTAAAATAAAAGGTGAAGTGAATAAATAAACTAAAACAGACTCTTAATGACTCTGCTTTTTCAGTTCTATTTAAGTCTGCTTTAGAATGTGAGGAGCAGCCGAGGGTATAATCATTACTAGACTTCTTGCCCAGCATATGAAAGGACCTGGGTTCAGTCTCTGGAGAGAGGACAGGAGGGAGGAAAGGGAGGAAGGGGTAATAATGTCCATACCTGCGCTGTCGCTGGTTGCAACATCAATTCCATGGACAAGAATGGCATTCAGACACTCCAGATTCCCTTTGGATGCCACGACGTGGAAGCTAAATGAAAGAGAACAACTGTTATGCCATGGAAACTGACAAAAGTGATTGAAATGTTCATGAACTGGAGGTGGCTCAGTGGTTAAAAGCACTGGCTGCTCTTCCAGAGGACCTGGGTTCAATTTCTAGCACCCACATGGCAGCTCACAATTGTCTGTAACTCCATTCCCAGGGGATCTATCACCCTCTTCTGGCCTCCTTGGGCGTAAGACATGCATGTGTACACAGATATATGCAGGCAGAGCACTTGGATACATTTTAAAGACATTCTACCAACGCTGTCCGCTATCTGTATATATGCACACACACAGTGCTACAAAGGCTTCGCTTTGTTAGAATACCTTTACAAATAGAGCGCTCTTATTTCCCGCCTCTGAGATGCTTAAAAATCTTATTCACAAAACTAGGCAACTCATTCTAGAAATGTCTCCTTAGGATAAAATATTTTAATATTCAACAGCTTGAATAAGAGAAAATGTCATTATATAATATAACTTTAGCCCTGTAATTCATTATTTTGCTCTCAAAAACCTCTGCTGCTTGGAACTGAATAAATGCACACAGGAATTTTCCTTTCGCCTTTTTTTTGGCATGTGTATATGTGACCACGTGTGTCTGTGTGATCGTATGTGATGAGCGTGTGTGTGTGCACACACATGAAAGTCCAAGGAAGACTCTCAGACTCTGTCTTACTGGAAGAGGCAGGGTCTGTCATCTGAGCTCGGGTCTTGCTGTCAACGTTGGTCTGAGCTCAGGACAGGACAGGCAGGCCGCCACTCGCCCAGCATCTCCCTGAGTTCAGGGGTGAGAACTCCCATCTTCATGTTTTGGTGGCAAGCATTCACTCACTAAACCACTTTTCCTAGCACCCACACTGGAACATTTCTATGTAGTTATTTTGTTTGACATTAAATATACTGAAATTGCTCCCCCCCCCAAAAAAAAAAAAAGGTTGCAGAAGAGGGTTAAGACCAAAGCAGATCAGAGACTTTCACTCTTCAGGATTTTCAAACCTCCAGCACTGAATTCTTCCTCTTCCACCCTGTGCCTTAAACCTTAGAGAGGCGGCCCGTTGACCAGGCTCCTAAGAAGGTAAGTCACGCCTGCTGGAGAAGCTAGCTCTGGGGCCAGAGAGAGGGACCCACAGCTAGGTGCGCTTGCTGCTCTTCTGGAGGACTCCTACCACCCCCTCCCCAGTCTGCTCGCCACAACCCGTAACTCTACACCGGGGCACCCCGCACCTTCTTCTGCTCTCCACGGGCTCCATGGGCACGTGTGTACACAGACACGCATACACATAAAACCTTTCATGGAAAAGAGAGGCTAACCCTAAGCACTTCAGTACTTAGAACACCAGCTACCCCATTCTCTCTTTCCTCACCTAGTATTTTACTAACCAGCGAACATTTACAGGCACTTCATGTGTGTGCACTAAAACTGCACTGACTAGAACTCATCCAGATCCAAACCTGCGAGCAGACAGACATCGCGGGTACAGGACGTTGAGTCCAAGGTGACACAGAACCAAAGTCCTACACAGGAGGCCCTCCCCTGAAGATGTCAGGAGGAGGCCATGAAAGTGCAAGACTTGTCCTTGGCCTTACTCTCAGCAGGACACTCCCTCCCTGACCACAGCAGAACTCATGCTCCCACTGCCTGGAGCCTTAGCTCTCCTGGTGCCCCATCCCCGACTTCACTATTCTCTGTAGAATTAGCATTGTTACACCATATTAGTTCAATGAATGCCGATTTCTCTGTGTGGCCTGTGCTTCTCTTCCTACTCAACCGCAAACTCAATAAAAGCAAAGATCATTGTCTGTCTCACTTTCTGTTATGTTCCCCGACACAAGCATCAAAACTCACACTCTCAAATGTCCGAATAAGTAAAATGCCGGGGGACAAAATCCAGACTAGCTTGCAAATTCATTCCCAGATACCAGGTGGTCACCAAGTGACTCTAGAGATAGTAGGACGGGGAGATAGAAAAGAGACCACGCCCCCTAAGGACAGTAGCGCCGCATCAGTCTAAAGCAGACAGAGGGGAGAGGTGCTCTTGAGACAAATTCGCTCTCCCTTTGAACAGGACAAACACATTTGGGCCGCAGGCATCATTCAGCCTCCCAGACATGGAGGCCCTGCAACCCACTGCCCGTGTGGAGGCGGGAGCGCCTCCTCCACACTGGGTTCCGGACCCCCTAAGACTGGAAATGCCAGTTCCAGGGGTTTGTTTTCACTGCTCAGCTCACAAACTTAGAAAACTGTGGTCTTCAGAGTAGCCCAATATAACTAACCCACAAACTAATCCATGAGCACTGCCTATGCTGCTGAGCTACAGACAGCATACGTGCTTTAGGAGGAAGACATGTCAGTTAAAGAAACGTATGTACAGGGCCATTCATGATGCATGACTAAGTGCTTTACAGAAATACTCCTTTGCAACCTGGGGAACCTCTTCTTTTTGAACACATGTAGTGTGTGTGTGTGTATGTACACGCGCGTGCGCGTGGTTTTGTGTCTTTGTGTGTGTGTGTCTGTGTTTGTGTCTTTGTGTGTGTGTGTGTGTGTGTGTGTGTATCTGTCTGTGTGTCTGTGTATTTGTGTGTGTATCTGTCTGTGCACATGTGTGTATATGTCTCTGTGTGTATGTCTATACATGTAAATGCCTATATGCTTGAGGATATCTGGAGGCCAGAAGAGGGTGTTGGATGCCCTGGAGCTGGAGTTACACACAGCTGTGTGCTTCCAGACATAAATATTCTTGACCACTGAGTTTGCGTTCTGCCACCACTACCATCATCTCATGTCTTTCTGGAATTACATGGTGGCTCATAACTCTCTGTATCTCCAGTTCCTGGGATCCAATGCACTTTTATGGCCTCTGTGGGCTCCTATATGCCTGGACATACATACACTTGGGCATGCACACACACATATGTACACACAATAAAAAATTAAAAGCAAAATATCCTTTCTCTTTTGGTTTTTTGAGACAGGGTTTCTCTGTGTGTAGCCCTGGCTGTCCTGGAACTCACTCTGAAGACCAGGCTGGCCTCAAACTCACAGAGATCCTCCTGCCTCTGCTTTTGGCATGCTGGGATTAAAGGCCTGTGCCACCACCACACAGCTATAAAATATTTTCAAGGTAAAATTGTCTTTAAAATTTTCAAAATTGAGCTGGGGGCAACAGTGGTGCAGGCCTTTAATCCCAGCACTCGGGAGGCAGAGGCAGGTGGATCTCTGTGAGTTAGAGGACAGCCTGGTCCACAGAGTGAGTTCCAGGTCAGCCAGGGCTACACAGAGAAACCCTGTCTTGAAAAACTAAACAAAAATTCCAAATTGAAAATAGAAAAATGAAAATTAAATTTGTTTTGCCACTAGAGACAATATAGAAGATACATCTGTAACACATACTAAAGTTAACTCAATACTTTCCTCAAGAAAGAATATGTAGTTCATACATAGAAATAAAAGGAGAACATTTTGCCCTGTGAGTCCCAGGAAGAAGGCTACTTCCTACAAAGAAAACTTGGAAGACTCACAGAACTCAAATGCTTGCCAAATGATGCCAATTCTGTGTGGCTCATTTAGTACACAGATAATCTCATGGCTGAACTTTTGACCAAAGAGAGCCCAGCAGACACTCAACCGCCCATTCCAAACACTGAAAGAAATATGGGCACACAAAGGGCTCTGCCGCTCAACATCTTGGGGTTGGGGAAAGAAGAGACTAGAATGCCAACTCACTTGTAGAGATTATATTTTACCATCTGTACCATGAGCCACATCAAGTAGCATAAAATTGGTCAAAAAAATAGGAGTAGGACTAAAAAATAACCTATTTCCTGTACTTAAAAAGAACACACCTTTTAATCCCAGCACTCGGGAGGCAGAGGCAGGCTGATCTCCCTGAGTTTGAGGTCATACTAAACTCAATAGCAGCTGTAGCTAAGGCTACAAAGAGAGAACCTGTCTCAGCAAAAACAAACAAAAACCTAGAATGCTGCTGGATAAAACTGAAGGACTGTGAAGCTTCATCGCTGCTAAAACCTTCTGAACTGGTAGTCACGCTTTGCCCTATTGAAATATTAAACATTCCAAAGTCATAATCTACATCAAACATTAGTGACTAATTTCTTAACAGTCACTTCTATATTTAGCATCTGGCTTCCAATTAGAAGATTTTGGGGGGAGGAAATCCCCTGAAAGGCTAAAAACAAGGACTTTTCGGAAACAGGACTTTTCACCTCTAGTCCTGGAAGGGTTCCCAGCTAAGGGTGCCAGGGCTGTAATTAGAGTATTAACAGAATCAAGATCTACCCTTTAAACCCAATTGCCTCTTGTCCTCAAAAAGAAAGGAAGCGGTGCAGATGTGGGATGGGTGGGGAAGAGGCACACAGCAAGCTAGGAGTCAGTTCACACAAACACAGAGCGTGGGCTCCCGAACTGTCTCTCCTTAAGGCACACCAGGGATTCTGGCTCCTCTCTGCCCTGCTCAGTCCCGTTGAAACTAATGATCTAAATTAAAAACTCAAATTGAGGCCTGGACAAAAGGACACCCTCCTTTACAGAATGCTCCAAAGGCAGAAAGTTGGAGCCACATCCCAACTGCAGAACGCCTGGGGTCAGAACAAGCTATTTGAGTCCAGCAGATTTTCCCCGGCTTCTCCTACATGCCACTTCAAAGATCAAATATGATAAGGACTGAAGAAGAGTTTGTCAATGAAAATACTCCAAGTAGCACAGGATGGGCTTAACCTAAGCAGCTGGACCCAGGAAAGTATTAAATGAGGACAATTGTTACTCTGTCTAAAATAGTTCATACTAGACAGCTCCAGGTCAGACTTTTAGAGTCACAGCAGGGACAGCCACAATTCACAGGTGGCCACATTTGGATGCCAAGGCTCTACCCAAACCTCAGTGAGAAGGGAATACTCACGCAGATCTGCCTTCCACATCCAGCTTGCCCGGATGGACACCCTTTTTGGCAAGAATGGAGGATACTTTCTCCACATCCCCCCTTTCAGCAGCTTTCATCAACCGGTCATCATATTTACTCCACTCTGTTGGATGCTACAAAAAAGGGGAAAGGAGACAAGGCATACTGTGTTAGTCAGCTCTCCTTAAGAAGAGGGGGAGAGAAGAGGGAGGGCCTGCAACGCATCCCTCACTTCCCACTGTACCCCAAATTCCTTTCTCTCTGCTGTGCTCACTTCTCAAGAACAACAGATTATTTGTTTGTTCATTTATTTGTTCACCTGCTAACTTATGGGAAACAGGGTCTCTCTATGTAGTCCTGTCTGGCCTCGAACTCACAGGGATCCACCTGCCTCTGTTTCCCAAGTGCTGGGATTAAAGGCATGTATAACTTTTCCAAATCATGACTCATGAGAAGTCTATTTACCTTAAACTTATATGCTTTGCATGTTCAATATCCTGTTAGCTGTCACTGGGGCAAAGAAAAAATAATAATGACTGAACGCCCACCCCAAGCCAGGCACGACACCTCCAGTCACCCAGAGAACTACAATCATGAGACAGTCTTAACAGAAGAGAGAATGGCGCTCCCGGCATCAAGTGGTTTGAACGGCGTGGCTGGGGCTCTGACTCCCCCTGTGCCCCCAGCCCTCACACTTTCACAGCTGTCTCTGGTTACTGTCTCCCAGCATCCTTAGGAGCAGTGGCACTCTGCAGTGGGACACACTGTAACACTCCTATTTCAAAGGTGTTGTTAGAAATACAGCTTTACATATTCAATAGAAAAAGGAACGGCTCAGACCTGCACATTAAAATAAAAAGAAACTTCTATGCAGAAAAGAAAACTAAAAAGGAAAGACTCTCTAAAGTCCTACCTTTTGTTTGTTTCTTTGCTTGCTTGCTTGCTTGCTTGCTTGTTCTTTAAGGGAAGGGTCTCCCTATAGAGTCCATGCTGGTCTCAAACTGAGGTTCCCCCTACCTCAGTCTACCAAGGCATATACCACCACTGCCAGCAGATTTTTTATTTTTTGCAAAAACTCAGTGCAAATAAACTTAAAAGAAAGGTGAAGGGGATTTCAAAAGCAAGAGTAAGTAGGATACAATATATATATTTTAATTACATCAAGGTTATGCTGGTTTTGATCTGAGAGCATACCACAAGGCTAATAATAACCTGTATCTTTTCTCAGTGCGTAGATGTGCCAAAACATGGGATGAGAATATAAGTATCTGGGGCTGGGGAGATGGCTCAGTGTTTAAGAGCACTGCTGTTCTTGCAGAGGACCTGGGCTCAATTCCCAGCATCCACATGGCAGCTCACAACTGTCCAGTTCCAGGGACTCCAACTCCCTAATACAGACATACATGCAGGCAAACACCAATGTGTATAAAATAAAAGTAAATTGCTAAAAAATATAAACATCTCTGCTTACATCTACGTGAACATCTGTACGTATGAGTGTGCTATAATGTTTAGAAAGGAGACCAAGAAAGCTAATATTGGGTGATAAAATACAGCTCTTTGAGCACATAAGATTTAGTCTTTTATAGTCCCACATTGAGACTATAAAAGATGGCTCTGACACCAAAGGTGCTTGCCACCAAGTCTGACAACCTGTTTAATCCTCATAACCCACATGGTGGAAGGTGAGGGCTGACAAGCTGTCCCATGTCCTCAGCATGGGAGCCATATGTGCACGCACTCATGCAAAGACACGTAAGTTTTTTAATGTAATAAATAGTACATTAATTCACTGCTAAATTCCATCACAGCGTTTTGGTTTTTTTTTGTTTTTTTTTTTTTTTTTTTTTGTAATTCCACTGAGAGACCAAAAGATTAAAAATTAGCAGCTATTATTAATGAAGGCCTGAAGTAGGTGGATGGAGAAGTCCAGTAATGCCCTGAGGGAAAGGACCGCCTTACTGCATTCTTTCCCCACCCACTAGAGATACAGTTCCAAGGAAACTGGCCCATCCCCCTAGGGAGGGACACCAGGTCATTATGCCTATCAATTCAAAATGTAGCATTTTGACCAATAGATGCTTGCCGGGCAGGAACTGCCCCTGCCTTGGGCATGCTGGGAGGGACCAGAATCTTTAAATCACCCAACTAACCTGAGCATGGGGCGCTCTGAGCTCCAGCGGTGGGGGCGTGTGGGCCCAAGCTGAAGCTTGTAATTTACAATAAAAAGAACCTCATGTTTTTACAGTGGAGTCTGTTTATTCCAGGTCTTTTGGGGTTTGTGAACTGGGCAGAACACCACCAGATCTATGCATTTTCACATAATTGGCAAAGTCAATCCTTTGCCCACAAAACCCTCTAAATGTTTAACAAGAAGATAAAAAATCACCAAATTCCTAAATTTCCATAGTAAATTCTATCAATTGATTCGTGAAGTACTTGAAAGAGAAAATACAAAAATTGAATTTGAAGCCAGCTGTAAAAACTCCATGTCTAACTCACTCTTAAGATTTATTTTAACAGACCCCGGTTTGAGCACCCACAGACTTCAGAAACAATGAACTGACGTTAAATTTGGTAATCAGCCCTTCTTCTCTAACTTCCAAAGTCCAACCGCCCATAATGCCTGCCTCCTGACTCAAAACCCAGCCACAGCATACTTTCACTTTAGAGCAACACAGCCTAGTACCCAGCTCTGGGAAGCAGCAGAGGCTTTCCATGAGACTCTGGGCTGTCAAACGCCCTGAGGATTAGGTCACACTTCACCACACAAGCACCTGCCCCAAAGTGAGTAGTTCTCAGACTTAAAACAGCCGTGATCCCCAAGGAAACTTGCTGGGCAGGAGAAAGCTCTGCAAAGCTCACAAACCACTGCAAACCCAGAGAACAGTTTTCCAAAAAGAAGGAAAAAAGGGGGGGAGGTGTGAAGAAGAAGGGCACTTCAACGTGAGTAAAGTCTCATGACTAAGTTAAGTCCGATTTCATTAGGCACTATTTCCAGCTCCTGCCCACAGTCAACAGTCCTGCGTCCAGTCACTAACTTTCTATCTTTTGTTTTCTTCTTTTTCTCCCCTTTTCCCCCCATTAATTTATTTAGTCACTGACAGCCTGTTTGCAGCCCCCTTCCTCCTCTCCTCCCAGTCCCACCATCAAAAGCCCAGAAAAACAAAAGCTTTTTGTCATCTGCAGTAATACTGAGGAAAACCAGCAGAAAAATGATCAGCACAGAGTAGGTCGTTAATAAAACAGGACACTGTAAGAGCACTTGGGAAGCCTGTGCACATCTGTGTTCCACAGGATACCTACTGTGTGCTTAGGAGCGCAAGACAGCCAACAGCTCATCCTAGCCAGGCTTCTGATCCTTGAGCGGCCGTGGGCAACCCTGCCTTGAGTTACAAATCTCTGTGGCTCACACAGCTGCAGACTTCTCGAAAGGGCCTCGGCCCCTCACAAGCTGGGCTGCGCATAGCTTGGATCTCCAGACTCAAGTTCTCCATCTTCTGGATCCTTCTCCTCCTCCACCAGGCTGGAACACTCTCCTCCTTGCTGCCCGGCACGGGGACGCAGGGCTGCCCAAGTCAGGTATGTAACTCCTCCTCCTCTTTCTGACTTTCTTCTGAGTGACTGCTTTCAAAGTTGTCCCCTTTCAGGGGCCCCGCTGGAGGACAGTCCACATCCTGCTTCATCCACGCTGCAGCCCAAACGCTGCTGTACACAAGGCTGGCCACCCCAAAGTGACCAGTAAACAGTGTGTGGCCTGCATCCCATTAGGGCAGTTCTATTTTAGATTCCTTAGGACCTGACAGCTGGGTGATAGAAAGGGGCTGAGACTTTGTTGTCAACGCATGCCTTCCCTCTGAGTAACCAAACTCGGGTCTCCTGGGGGAAATGACTCAAGTGCATTGTGAAACACACGGACCACGTCAATACAGTCAGTACAAGTGTGTGACAGACGACCAGGAGGTACACAGGCAAATCTGGTTTTCCAACACAACAGTATTTAAAGTCCCGGTTTCAATCTTAGGGTCATCTATCATCGAGTTACACTAGCCTGGACAAACAGGATATAAAAAGCTATTTAAAGCAAATGTGTCATGCTTTCATTTAAGGAAATGCACACACACACACACACACACACACACACACACACACACACACACCACCTTGAATATTAGTACCCCCGGCATCTAGCTCTGCCTACAACAGGTTTCAGCTTACAACTGCTGCCTGTCTGTCTCCTCACATGGCAAACAAGAAGGGACAAGGGCACTGCCAAGCCAGCGCTGGGTGAAGACTGTGCCACAAATTTTAATTTAAACATTTAACACTCAGTACTCTGCATTTCCAAGCTTAGCATCCTGCCTGGAGAATGACTTTCTGTGGAAGGTCAAATGATCTGGATTCCTGAGTAAGAGCAAAACACAGTAAAATGGACTGATGAAAACTGAAGGAGGCGAATCTACCCCAAAGCCCCATGTGAGGAAGGTGAGGGTGGAGGGACAACCCCTCTGGAATCCCTACAATACCAAGATGCTCCACATTACCAAGCTGCTCCCTCTTCCTCCTCCAGGGTGTGTGTGTGTGTGTGTGTGTGTGTGTGTGTGTGTGTGTGTGTGTGT